CATCATTCGAATTATCAGTGCTTATTATTAATCAAAGAGTGTTATTTGGGCAATAATATGGTTCCGTCAGTGTATACATCATACCTGCCGGATAAACTAGTTATCCGGCATGATATACGTATCGGAGTCATGGGCATTCGACAGGATGATAGCAACGCACGTGGCCGAAGGCCACGTGCTTTTGCTATCATCCTGCCGAATACCCATGTATCCGTCACATCATGCCAGATAACAAGAAATTATCGTACGGCGATGGTGTTGACATACCAAAATTTTGATCATATTTGTACGGTTAAGTTTTAAAATTCTTATTAGTCAGAGCCGATGATATAATCAGCTGTCTAATAAGAACTTTAAATCAACCGTACAAATATGAAAATTTTGGTACGGCAGTACGTAACAACAGCCGGACGATAATACCGTTATCGTATGGCTGGATAAAAAATCGACACGATGGTATGGGTGTATCAGTGATCAAATAAAATATTTGTCAAGGATATGTGGGCCGCGATTGCGGCCCAAATATTTCCGATAAAATATTTTATTTGATATTTTTTCACCCACCATACGATAACTTATAAATATTACATTCTACTCCCGAAATAGTCACATTCGCAATAGTCACAATTTTTAAAAGCTATAAGCTAAACATTTATAATTAATCCTTGCTATAATCACACGATGCTATTTATCTCTCACTATAGCCGCATCAAATTTCTGCCAGACTATGTGACAATAGCGGGAGTTGACTGTATTTTCAAAGGCTGAGTTTATTGTTTTAAATTTAAAAGCCTGAGGCTTGTTTTCTTTCAATAGCACCAACGATATATTTACGGACTAAATTAGCACGGCTGAGGCAAATTAAGTAGTAATGTTTGTTGTTTGATTAATTTCCAGACTTAAATATTTATTGATATGATAAATCGTAAAATCTAAAAACACGAAGGCCGATTTTTCTTTGGAAATACTCATAAATTTGACAAAATTAATTTTTTTTAAAATGAATAAGCGAATAAAATTTTAGTATTATAAATGATGTTATATTCTTGAGAAATTTTAACATAGTATAACTCTTTAATTCATAGCAAAAAAGTTTTTTTTTAGATTGCTTTGTTATGTTCTATGATACAGATAATAAAGATAATAAAGATGAATCTGAAATTATCCTTAGTCAACCTAAAGCTAATCTTGCTCAATCAATCTTTAATTTTTGCAATGTTTTGATGGGTAATATACTGATTATCACTAATTTTTTACAACTCAAATGACTTTAATATTATATTTTAACAACTTGTTTTAGGTATTGGAATCCTTTCATTGCCTCTCGCATTTAAATATTCAGGATGGATTATTGGATTTTCATTATTAGTTTTCTGTATGGGAGTTACAAATTATGCTGCAAGATTATTAATAATATGTTTAGAATATAAAGGCGAACATAAAGACGAACATAAAGACAAACTATATACATATCCTGATATAGGTATTTCATATTTTATTTCTTTAAGTCACGACGTTCAATAATATTTAATTTTAATGAATGTACAACATGTAATAGCCGAGGTAGCATACGGAAAAGTTGTGAAATTGGTTATACTTGCTTTATTTGGATTAGAACTAATTTTAATGGCAGTTGCTTCAGTAAACCTAATTGGTGATTGTTTAAACACGATATATCCTGACATATCTATTGTATCTCTAAAAATTATTTCTTGGATGGTGTTAGTACCATTAACATTAATTGACATTAAATATCTCTCATATGTATCATGTCTTGGAATATTATCATCAATAGCATTGGTGTTTGTAATAATAATTGATGGGTTTACAAAGCATACTCAACCTGGAAGCTTACTCAATCCTGTGAAAACTGAATTATTGCCTATCACATTTACAACCTTAAATTTGAGTTTTGGATTAATAATAGCTGGATTTGCAGGTTATTACTTTTGATCTTTTTTTAGTTATAACGGAACTATTTATTAATTGTAGAGATGTTTTTCAGGACATGCAGTATTTCCTTCAATATATATAAATATGAAAGATCCTACAAAATATCCGACAACGGTAAACGTGTCGTTCGCCATTAGTACTGTGGTTTATATTTTAATATCCGTGTGTGGTTACTTAATGTTTGGAAATGATGCAATGTCAGAGGTATGTTTAAAATTATTCATTTAAATTTTTAAGTTCTAAATTTATAAATTATTTCATCATAAATAATAATGTAAATAATAAATATACTGCAGATAACGCAAAATATCATGACAACAGAACATTTTAAACTTCTTAATCATATTATAGTATGGCTTGTATCGATTAATCCATTTGGAAAATTCGCGCTTTATTTAAACCCAGTAAATCTATACATAGAATTACATTGTTGGTCAAAGGTGTGCGATCCACACGCTGGATGTTTCATTTTTATACGTTTCTTGTCACGTACAATAATATCAACTGCGATTGTATTAATCGCAATTGTGTTTCCAAATTTTGAAAAGTTAATAGAATTGTTAGGTAGTTTTTTATTTTACAATCTTTCTGCCGCTTTTCCATGTATGTTCTATTTGAAATTATATAGTAGCAAGGTAGGGTGGGGAGAATGGTTGATGAATTTATTGATTATTTTAGTGTGCTTTGTATTATCAGTTTTAGGAACTATTGGGGCATTTTCGTAGGATTATGTTTTTTTAGTTATTACAAATAATAATTGTGGTGATTAAGAAGGCAGTCATATGACACTTAATTAAATTACTTTTGGTTCTTATCAGGGCTGGGTCGAAGTCTGGTTTTCCTTGATGTTATCAATTTATTATCATTATTGCCAAATGA